TTGCAGTGGGTTTCTGTTATGAGTGCTATGTCTATTTGTTTTTCCAATAATAAATGCAATAATTCGGTTTCATGTTGTTTTTAGCCATTTGCATTCCATAGTAATGATTTCAGTATGTTTAAATTTGGTTTTTTAGTTGACATTGATTATAAGTTTGTTTATTACAGTTGTAAGTAGCGATATTAGCGGATTTATTATTAATTTGAATTCAGAAATAAAAGATGAAAGTTGTGTAGCTAAGTTAGGTTCAGATTGATTTTCAGTATCATTTGGGAGACTATGTTTAGGTGTGTTAGGATGGAGAGACTGTGGGGACAGCTTTGGAAAAGATGAGATGTCATTTAAGTTTGGAGGGTTAAGGTTGGTTTTAACACCGTAGTCCTCCCCCTTCTTTACAATAGAATTATATTTTACATCATTTCTTAAATTATATTTTTATTTGGAGTATTTTTATCGTATTGGAAACTTTGAAGGTTTTTGTGGATTTGGCATCCTCGATAGTTAGCAGTGTGATTACCTTCACATAGGGTGCAGGTTGGTGGTTCGTCCGTGGATTTTGTGCAGGTGGAAGTAGAATGATTAGCAGCACATTTGACGCATCTTGGAAGGTGGGCACAGTATGATTTAGAGTGACCGTACTCTTGGCAGTTTGTACATTGTATAATGATACGTCTTTTGAACGGCTCTTCAGTTTTTATTTTTGTATTTAATAAAGAGGTGATATGAAAAATTTCTTTGTTTATTTCCGCAGGTTCCAAGTCAATAAAGAAAATTGGCAGTTTATTTTTAGTGGTTTTGTTCAAGACGTTGGATACATTACGGACTGAGAAAGGTCCAACTTCATTTATTGCTATGCCATTTCCGCTAATGGAGTTGATGGGTGGATGTTTCGAATTACTACTCGGAAAGGTTTTTCATCTTGAGCTTGATATGTGTGATATTCGGCCTTACTCTCTTTTAGAAAATGGATGGTTGCTCTGTATGAGTCGGCGTTGTTGGTTTGAATTTTTAAGTTGTTGACATTTGATTTAACAAAGAAACTGTCAGCACCGATTAATTCTATTAAACGTGAACGAAATGCAGAAAAATCCAAAATTCCACTTATGAAGATGGGTGGAGGAGGTTTGACTTTTAGTTCGGTTTCGGTGTCCGAGTCGATATCAATGAGAATTTCGTCGGAATTTTCAGTTTCATGATTTTCGTTTGCAAGTACGGCGTATTTATTTAGCACAGGCATTAGTATTGACAATAACTTCTTTTAAGTACAATAAAATAGTTTTTAAAACAGTTTCATACAAAATTCAAATATTACCCAAATTAAATAATTTTTTCAAGCAAGTTAATTTTAGATTCAGAGCGTAGCGATAAATGTATTGGTTTTACAATGATGTTTATTTTTAGATTTTGAGCATAGAGAGTGGTCTATTATGTTTACTATGATTTGTGATTTTTATTTTGTGTCAGTGAATAACTTTTCAACCAGAAATC